GAGCGGGTGGTGGCTCACAAGACCCCGCGACGGTGCAACCGTGAGTCGGATCTTTTGCAAGACCCGAAGTGTCTCTCTTTGGGGAGAGAAAAGGAGTCTGTTAAGCTCAAATAACGAAATAGAACCCAAAAATTAAAACAGAATTTTAATTATGATGCATTGAGTTTAATTATGGCGCAATTCAGAGCGGGAGTTTACAGCTGGAAGTGGGGAGGAGACAACGTTCCCCCACTAAGGAAGACTTCTCAAAAGTTAAAAAAAAAAACCCAACAACCCCCCCAAAAATGTAATTTTATTCCATGTTGAGAAGAATTTTTGATGTTTCTCACCCAAAACGCCGCCAGGAAGTCCACCTGGTGTGGGGAAGAGCCCAATGCTTCATCATTCAGGCACCGAAGGACACCGGTCCTTCAGGAAAGGCTCTTCCCAAAGATGCGGTTGATGAGCATCACCCACGTGCTCAGATGTGGGGCTCGGGGCTCTCCACCGTGGCCCGATATGGGGCGATGGCGTTAAAAGTCCTCTTCATCTTCAAGGAGGAGGAGGAAAAACCATCTTTGGGGCCACCAGCCTGGACCCAGCGCGTGTCAATCCCCTCGGTACCCCCCACAAAGGCGTTGAAGGTCTCTTCTCCCGCAGGTCACCGCCTGGAGATGAAGCCGGAGGCACGGGTGGCCTGTCAGGTGACGATGGCAGCGCTCTTCATGGCTCTGCTCGTCACCGCCGTGGCTTTTGCAGGTGAGCAGTGAGGTTTTCGTCTCATGGGCAACGTCCCTGAGACACTTTGGGTGGTTGCACAGGTGCCAGATCCACCTCCACGCTCCCAGCCTGCCCCGAGAAGCTCTTCCTCTCCAGGGGAGGGACATTTCAAGGACCAGAGAAGCCTTTCTCCTCTGTGTAGAAGCTGATGTCATCTAGAAACCCTCAAAAAACCAACAGAAAGTGCCGTTTGGCGCTTGGGAAGTGGTGGAGTCGCCATCCCTGGTGGTATTTCAAAGCCACCAGGTTGATGCGGTGCTGAGGGACGTGGTTTAGTGGTGGAGTTGGCAGCGTTGGGTTGATGGTTGGACTCGATGATCTTCAAGATCTCTTCCAACTGTGTCGATTCTATGATGCTATGAAGTTCGACGGGGACAGTCACCTGAGCTGTCCCAAAGGTGGTGTTGGTTTTTTCCAAGGAGGAGCCTCCCCGACGCTGAGCTCTTGGCCTGAGTCCCACCAGGCCAAGAAGTCTGCAGGAACAAGAGACCTTTTTCTTTCTGTCCTTTGCCCAACGCTACTTTTGAGTTAATGACAGAGGGCGATACCAAAGGGCGCGTTTAGGGATAGGGCTCTTCTGGAGATCCTCTTAAAACTTGTGTCTTTGAAGGCCACCACCCCGTTTTTCATCTTTGAAGGTACAACACCCCCCAGTTTCTTGTCCAACGCCGCAAGCTGGGCCCTGACTTGAGCTGGTTTTCTCCCTCCCGCCCACCCGAGGTTTCTCTTGATGTCTTTATTTTCTCTGGGTTGTCTTAATTTTTCTTTCTTCCCGCCCTTGAGGCAGACGCGAGATTTTTGGAAGGCCGTGGGGTGGGGGGATGACCATCCCCACCCTGGAGAGTCGAGGGGAAGGTGCCGCTCCTTAACGCTGTTGCTCTGTCGGTGGCAGTGCAGGCTTTTCAGCCTCGTCCCCGACCCTGCTTTCGGTGTCCCTTCGACTGGATCGGGTACAGAGGAAAATGCTACTATTTTTCGGAGGCTGAGGGGAACTGGACATCCAGCCAGGACAACTGCTCGGCTCTCGGGGCTTCCTTGGCCGTGCTCGACAGCGTGGAGGACTTGGTAAGGAGACACGAGGACGTGCGTTGCATGGGGGCGGTGGGGAGAAGAAAAACAAACAAAAAAACCACCCCAAAACCACCAATGTGTTTGCCAACTTTTGGGTTCTTTCACTGCTCTTCCAGCATCTTCCTTGGAGATTTGGGGTGAGGAGACGGGGGGGTGGAAATGGTTTTCTTGAGGGTAGGTCGTCATAGGTCTACCAAATTGCTCGCCAAAGCCAACCGGTGGAAGAACTATAGCAAAAAAACCCACCGTGTTTATGCAATAATTAAGCTCTGCCTTAAAGATGGCGCTTTTTGGTAGGAGATTGAAAGGTTCAAGCAGCAAAGGGGCCCCAAAGGAGCACGAGGTAGTGGTAAAATGTGAATTATTGCTCGGGAGGAGGTTTCTGCAGGTGGCGACCTGTCGGAGATGTCCCAAATCCCCGCGACCTGCCGTAAAGACTTTCTCTTTCTCTCTCTCTTTCCTCTTTTTCAGAGCTTCGTGATGAGGTATAAAGGCAGTTCGGAGCATTGGATCGGCCTTTCGCGGGAAGATGAGGAGCAGCCGTGGGAATGGGTGAACCGTTCGCGTTTCTCTCACCTGTGAGTCTGTGGGTTTCCTCGAGAGACGTGGGGGTGGTCGGTGTTTCCTCAGCCCCAAAATGCGGGTTTCTGAGGTGGATCCGGGGGCAGCAATGACGGGTCGGGAAAGGCAACGTCCAGAGCTGCTCTTTGACTAGAGAGGTGGTTTGGTGGGAGGAAACACTGTTAGTTTGGGGGATTTGATTTAATATTTTATTTTTTCTTGCAAAGCTTCAGCTTTCTTATGGCCAACGCTGCCAAAATAGAAATAATTCAGCACCGATATCGGCATGAGGATGCCCGAGAACCGAAACCCACTGTGTGAGTTTTTTTTTTTCTTCTCCTTTCCCCATCTAAGGGTGGGTTGTCTCATCTCTCCTTCCAGGTTTGGGATCCGCGGCGGCGGCCTCTGCGCCTACTTGACCGACGATGGGCTCAGCTCTTCCCGCTGCGGTGCCGAGAGGAACTGGGTTTGTAATAAACCCGAGTCGCAGAGTCCCGGGCAAAACGGGATGAGACGGGCTCAAAACCTTTGCGTCAGCTCCTAAGGGGCTGCGGGGAGCACTCCTCCAACCTAAATTCCCAGGAAACGAAAGAAAAGCTCAAAAAAACCCACCCCAAAACCCCACAGAAAAAGCAAACTCGGGGTGGGTGGGGAAGACCTATCACCAAAAATTGCCGATTAAGAACCAAAGTTGTCATTCCGTGTTTTGCCAACCCAACTTTGCCATACGCCTCATGAGGAATTTCTGGTGATTCCTCGCAGCACCCCGATAATTCGCGCCTGGTAATGAGTTATTCGTAACCCCCCCGCTGCAATTAAACTCCAGAGCAAGAAGAAAGCCGGAGCCGTACCCATGACACCGGGGAGGACGTCTGGAGGGTGAAGCTTAGCGAGATGCCTGCAGCCTCGCCCGGCGCGACCAGAAAAATGGGCGAATGCCGTAGGATTTCTGCTTTTCTGGCTTTTTGTGGAATTAAAGCGGCAATCTTCAGGCTTGTTTGGCTGAGAAAAGCCTCTCACCACCTTACGGGTAGGTGGAAACGCTGCAAAGATGGAGAAAGCTTGCAAGACATCCAAGGATTTGGTGCTCTTGTCTTCAGGGAAACCCCAAGCAACAAAGTCAACCTGTGACCATACACGGCTCCGTCTCGAGATGAAGAGATTTCCAAATGTCAAAAATCAGATTATTCTTTCCAAGGACGCATCTCTGGGCTTGGGACAGCGACGGGTTGAGGGAGGATCTACCAAGTCAAGGTTGGAGCAACCAGCTCCAACTGGTTGGAGAGAGAAGGCGACCTCTTCACCTTAACATGCCGGTGAGGTTAGAGAGGAAAAACCAGCAAGGTTTTTAAAGAAAAGGAGGAGTAAGAGGAAAGATTTTCCACGTTTGCATGGAAGGTTGTGTCCAGGGAAGACATTAGAGCATCTCATCTTGATGAAAGGTGACATGGGGAGAAGGTGACAGCCCAGGGAAGACTTTTTTTTGATGAGTATCTCAACTTGGGGACTGTCGGTGAAGGCGTAAACAGGAGGATAGTAGGATTTTTAGCAGCGCTTTGATTTTTCCTGGTATTTAGCCGTGATAGCTAAAGGATACAACCTTTTCCCAGCAACGATGAAATCCTGTGTTTTCTCCTCTTTCAGCGCTTTGGCGAGCGTTGCCTCCTCAGATGCTCTCCCAGCCGTGTTTCACCAAAGTCGAGGGGTTTTTTTTGGGGGGGGCGGGATGATGGATCAACCGAGGA